GGAGCTCCACCGAGGGCTCCAGTGGCTGCGTTCGCATGGCGGCACCGCGCCCATTTCGGCACACCCCTCACACGCTTCGTGGCCCCATAGGGAGCTCCACCGAGGGCCCCCGTGGCTGCGTTCGCATGGCGGCACCGCGCCCATTTCGGCACACCCCTCACACGTTTCGTGGCCCCATAGGGAGCCCCACCGAGGGCTCCAATGGCTGCGTTCGCATGGCGGCACCGCGCCCATTTCGGCACATCCTTCACCCGGCTTGTGGCCCCATGGGGAGCTCCACCGAGGGCCACAATGGCTGCGTTCGCATTGCGGTACCGCACCCATTTCGGGGCACCCCTCACACGTTTCGTGGTCTCATAGGGAGCTCCGCCGAGGGCTCCAATGGCTGCGTTCGCATGGCGGCACTGCGCCCATTTCGGCACACCCCTCACACGTTTCGTGGTCTCATAGGGAGCTCCACCGAGGGCTCCAGTGGCTGCGTTCGCATGGCGGCACCGCGCCCATTTCGGCACACCCCTCACACGTTACGTGGCCCATAGGGAGCTCCACCGAAGGCCCCAGTGGCTGCGTCCGCATGGCGGCACCGCGCCCATTTCGGCACACCCCTCACACGTTTCGTGGCCCCATAAGGAGCTCCACCGAAGGCCCCAGTGGCTGCGCTCGCATGGCGGCACCGCACCCATTTCGGCACACCTCTCACACGTTTCGTGGCCCCATAGGGAGTTCCCTCTCATCCGCCCAACCTGCTTTGCGGTACTCGCAACTGCATATGGTTGGGTCCATCGCCAGGATAATTTTTTGGTGTTTCCTCTGCTCCCCCAAGGAGACCCTTCAAACAACCCCTTGAAATATGCTTTTCTATTTTCGCTCAAATGGTTACTCAGGCCTTCCCTGGGAACTCCCCAGCAAAAATCTGGAGGCTGTGGAACACTGGGTGCTGCGGTGGACACGGGGGATGTGACATTCTAGGTGTGGCGCTGGGGAAGCGGGCGGGGCAGGCAAGACGGGCGGGGCGGGCGGCGGGTGGCGGGGCCTGGCGGCGTGCGGGATCTGGTTTGCGATGCACCTTCCCCAAGAAGCTGCTTGGAAACGGAAGCTGTGGGCTCCGTGGGTGCGGTGCAGACGGAAGCTGCGGAGCACTGGGGACGCATGTGATCACAACAGCGGGGGCCTTCTGCGGAGCTCCCTGTGGGGCCACGAAACGTGTGAGGGGCGTGCCGACATGGATGACGGGGACGCATCTGATCACAGCCACTGGGGCTTTCGGTGGGGCTCCCTATGGGGCCACGAGACGTGTGAGAGGTGTGCCGAAATAAATGGCGGGGACGCATGATGACAGCCACTGGAAGCTTCGGTGGAGCTCCCTCTGGGGCCACGAAACGTGTGAGGGGTGTGCCGAAATGGATGGCGGGGACGCATGTGATCACAGCCACTGGGGCCTTCTGCGGAGCTCCCTGTGGGGCCACGAAACGTGTGAGGGGTGTGCCGACATGGATGACGGGGACGCATCTGATCACAGCCACTGGGGCTTTCGGTGGGGCTCCCTATGGGGCCACGAGACGTGTGAGAGGTGTGCCGAAATAAATGGCGGGGACGCATGATGACAGCCACTGGAACCTTCGGTGGAGCTCCCTCTGGGGCCACGAAACGTATGAGGGGTGTGCCGACATGGATGGCGGGGACGCATCTGATCACAGCCACTGGGGCCTTCGGTGGAGCTCCCCATGGGTCCACGAAACGCTGTACTGGCTGCGCTGAAGTGGTGGACATGCGGAGAGCAGAGGCAGGCATGGGAGGAGGAGAAGGAGGAGCAGGAGCAGGAAGAGAGGAGAGGAGACGCGGGGCGCTGTCACTTCAAGACGAGGACGCCACACCACAGGATGGTTGGGAAAAAGAGGCGGTTGGCCGAGAAGGACGGCGAGGAGGAGGTGCACGCATTCCTGCTGCTGCAGCCTCGCAGAATCACTAGTTCCTGCGCGCATGAGGCGCCTGGCCGTGCACGTCGCCGACGACCGTCACCGGAGCTGGCACCGGCTTGACGTTGCACTCCCTGCTCAGCACGAGCTTCAGGCGCTCGCAGAGCACCCTCACCTGCAGCGCGAAGTATGTGTGCGCGGAAATACACGTTCGACCGCCGCGGCGCTGGGAGATCCCAATGCGAAGGGGTCCAGGGTTTCTGGCCCGTCCAGGGCCCCTGATCTGGCCGAGGTCGCACGTGTCCACTAAAACGCTGCCTCGGCATCTAACAGACGACTGAGTTGGGCCAGCATCTGGGCCAGCGCAAATCGGCTCTGACCCGCGACGTCGCGATTTGTTCTCAACGTGGACGCGAAGAGGATCTGGACAGCCGCAGATCTGAATGGCTCCAGAAGGGTCCTGGCACTTAATCCAGGCAAACCATAAGCCCTCGAAGTCACTGAGGCACTCCCAGGAAAACCCTTCGAGAAGCCTCGCGCACCTCTGCGGGTCAATGTCACGACGACTCTATGACCCACTTTAAAGACACAAGCCTCACACCCCGCATGCCGATGATCACATGCTCAGTCAAGTACCAATGGTCATGCCCATGGCCTTTCCTTTAGCTCCTTCTGGTGCAACTCCTGATTATGCTTGTACCCTGATGCTGCTCCCGCTGCTGCCCCTCCTCATCATCCTACTCCTGCTTTCCCTACTACTACTACTAC